CGTTCGAGTTTCCCTGCCCGATTGGTCCCGCGGGTTCGGGACAGTCTGGGAGAGGCCAGGGCGGCCCTCCACCCCCAGAGAACCTGCTTGGCACTGGACGTCTCAGGGCCTCCAGGGCCCTCTAGACGCCGCTGACCCCAAGGTCAGGCTGGGAGAGACCTCTTCCCACACGCCAGACCCTCTCAGGGACCGACTGCTGTATGTTCCCAACATCACGACATCTTGAACAATCCCACCAGATGCCCACGGGCCCCAGGGCTCCCCCAGCCATAGCCCACCCACGTCCACCGACTGCCATTGTGCAGACCAAAAGCCTGACTGTCGCTCTGAGCTGATCTGCCTCAGATCCTGCCGGTGACACCAGCTCGCGCCCACAATCCCACAGGGCCTCCACCCGAATGCCGTCCTGCCTGCGTGATGCCGGCCAGCCAGCCCAGCCACAGGGCAGCCGAGGGCCCTTTCAAAGAGAAGCCCGAGCCCCCCCAAAGCTGTGCTAAAACCAACACCCACCCTGCCCCTGTGTAGCAATGACCTCAGTGCCCAAGTCCTCGATGGCTGCGTGGCCCTGCACAGCCACCCTCGCTAGTCCTGTGCACGTGAGGAGCCCCGACCTCAGCCACCACACCTCCCTCCCCGACCCCCGTCCCTCCGAGAGCCACGTGACCCATCTGAACTTCAAAGCCTGGCCAGAGGATCACCTGAACAAGGCCCTCGCTGACCCGGGGAAGAGGGGGCAGCACCCACACCACCACACTCAGCTCCCCTGCCACCTTCTTCCTGGACAGGCAGCTGCCTGACCTGCTGGCCCCTTCACTGCTGGCCCGGCTGTCCCCACAGAAGTGAGCTGGGGAGGGGCACGTCCCCGTGCAAGCCCAGCCCAGTGCACAGGGTATGGCTAGCCCCAAGAGGCAAGATTGAAGGCACCGAGTGAGGCCGGCCCCCCACGCCGCAGCAGCTGTGCCCCTGTAGGAGTCTGTCCTGGGGGTAGGCATGGGCACTCCTGGCCAATCGGGCCAGTGAAGCCGTCCCACGACCTGAGGTCAAGACTTTAGCTGTGTCCCTGAAGGAACACAAGCCCACAGACAGAAGGGGCCTTCAGGAGTTAGCGCTGCTCCAGACCCAAAGTCTGAGCAGGCCTGTGTCCGACATGTCTAAATCTGGGCTTTGCTGACCACCACCTTCTCCTGCCTGGCCGGGCAGCAGGGAGCCCTCAGCCCCAAGAACGTAACTGGACGGGCCCAACACAAGGGGATCAGACCTGGACTGAGAACGCGCTCTAGCGGAAGTCACGTTCTGAAAGAAAAGGCCAGCACAGAAACCTGGTTAAAGAGCGAGTGGGCAGAACCGAGCAGGCGAGGTCACCAAAAGCAGAAGCAAGCACAGGTGACCAGAGCCATTCGAGGAATGGCTTCTCTCACACAAGGCAAGCAGAACAAGTCTAGACCACGAGCCTGCTCCCCAGCCCAGCTGGGCAGACTGACGAGATCAGCAGCACCATGTCTGCGAGTGCACTGTGCTGACAGGCAGTGCCCGGTGGGTAAGGCAGCACCGTGCTAGCGGGGAGCACCGTGTCTGCGAGTGCACTGTGCCGACAGGCAGTGCCCGGTGGGTAAGGCAGCACCGTGCTAGCGGGGAGCACCGTGTCTGCGAGTGCACTGTGCCGACAGGCAGTGCCCGGTGCGTGCTAGCGGGGAGCACCGTGTCTGCAAGTGCACTGTGCCGACAGGCAGTGCCCGGTGGGTAAGGCAGCACCGTGCTAGCGGGGAGCGTGTCTGCAAGTGCACTGTGCCGACAGGCAGTGCCCGGTGGGTAAGGCTGCACCGTGCTGGCCGGCTGCACAGTACTGGCAAAGCTGCACTGTGTTGGCTGGGAGCACCGTGTTGGTAAGGCTGCGGGGGCATGACCCTGTCCCTGCCTGGCACGTGGCACTGGCCTGTCGGCGCCTCCTGGGGAACCATGCCCTAGACTGATGTGTGAGACTGTCCCGCGGCACTGCTGAGGAGAGCAGAGCGCTGGAGGCAGGCCGAACGCCTAGTGGGGGCCACGCCCTTCAGCACGGCCCCTTCGGAGGGCCTGAGATCGCCTGGCAAGCTGTAGAACAAGGGCAACAGCACAGTGACTCAGTGCTGGGTCCAGGGCTCCAGCCAGCGGCACACCCTGGGGTTCACACCGCAGGCCCCCCACTTCTTTATACCCCAAGCGCAGCCCTTGCACTCACGCTTCGAAAGTCTGTGGAAAACGGAAGCGAAAAATGAGTTTATTCTGGTACAAGAAACGTTGTACCCTCACGTGATTTTTTTCATCGTACACACCTCCAGCTACTAAAAACTCCTCGTCTGGTGTCAAAACCCAGCTGGCGGTGCAGTGGTTAGAGTGCTAGACCCCCCCCCACACACACACACACACACACACGGCCCACTGGGGCTCGAGTCCCGGACCTGTCGGTTTGAGACTCACGCCGGGAACATGTGCACACCCAGGATTCCAAGTAGAGAAAGGAGAAGAGGCTGTGGTGTGGGCACGTCCCCCAGGAGTGATTTCCCACTCTCTGGCTCTCTAGCGAGTGCACAAGTACTACAGCAAAAACTTCTTAAAAAAAAAAAAAAGGCAAGATCACCTTCTCTTGGAAACACACAGGGGACGTCTCCAGAATGTGACCCATCACCCCAGCCCTGAGCCCTGACAACCCGTGGGGCCGAGGCGGCAGTGAGCTCTAGACCTATGTCTCTCGCAGACCAAAACGGTGGCGGTGGTGCGGGCAGACCTGTGCGGAGGGAGGTTCTCGCAGGACGCCCAGTCCCGCCCCTGGCCCCAGCGGGGTGGCCCGCGCTTGCACTGTTCCCCACATGGCCTGAGCCAAGCGGGGAGGCTCAGAGGCCGGGCTCACCTGGTCGAGGGTCTTGCAGCAGTCCACCAACACACCCACAGGCTGCGTGTCCTGCAAGCCCTCCTTCAGTCCCTGCAGCTCCAGGTCAGAGGGACTGAGACCCTCGCCCTAGAGGAGAGAGGAGGTCTGCTCTGTGGGGCCCAGGGCGACTCAGCCCCACCCTGGCCCCGCCCGGCCTGGCCCCGCCCGGCCTGGACCACTCAACGGAGCCTGTGGAGGAAGGGCCTCGATGGTGGCTATGTGGGAGGAGATGGGCAGGACATTCAGCTGGTCATCGATGACAAGGCACTTCTTACACGAGGCCAGGGACAGGATGAACCTGTGGGCAAAGCACAGACTGAGGTGGGGCGGCCTCTGAGCACAAGACGGAGGGCAGGGCACCTCTTTGGGAAAACCGCTTTGCTGCCGGGAAGCCCGATGCAGAGGCTGGTGGAGCTGGGTGGGAGCCCAGTGTGCCTCCCCGAGGGTGCTCCAAGCCTCCACCACACGCAGCCCAACGCCCACCCCCAGGTGTTAGCCTCAGCCTCCTGGAGCCCCACACAACACAGCACAAAC